CTGAATAATTACAACTGCTATCCTCAAGAACCTTCTGTTATTGAAGTATGACAAATACTTAAGTATAAACAAAATTCCAAGGACATTCAAAGAAGGGAGGCAGCATATCTGTTTTAGAGGTCAGGGAAAGTGGTTGAGCCTTGACAGGTAGAAGAGGAGAAAGGGGTTCTGGGGTAGTGACATGTGAGCTATCTTCAGGGAACACTGAGTAAACTAGGCTACAGCCCAGGATACTCATGGATAATGATTGAAGTAAGGCTAGGAAGGTGGTTGAAACCACACTGAGAAATCCTGACCAATGAGGTTATACTTATTTGATAAGGGTAGGAGAGGAGAAGGTGAGATACACAGAGATTATCTTTAGCAAGTTGAAGTTAGCAAAGGCTTACAGGATGGAGCAGAGGGCAATTCTAATCAGCCCATGAGGGTGGCCAGAAGAATGTGACTGGCCTAGGTCAATGGTTCTCAGCTGCCTGAAGTGGGAGCTGGGGTTGAGCGTGCAGGTAGATATCAGATGATGAGAAGTAAAATATGTTTTGAAAAAGCATAATTATTATACTCATTGTTTTTTATAGTCAAAACTTCAAAAACTGTCACTCCATGAAATCCCCTTGGGGGTAGGGATGTTCACCCCATTTTAAAAGTTGATGCACCCTAACCTCCAATGTCCTTTCTAGTTGTAACCTCATTTGAATGACTTTATTTTGTGGACAAGTAAGCTAAAGCTAAAAGAGGTGACATGGTTAGTCAGTGTCAGAGCTGGAACTAGACCCTGAGCCTTCTAAATTCCAGGACCGTGTTCATTCCACTGCACCATATATCTGTGATGGTTTCCATTTTACAAATGTAACAATTTGGGCAAGGAGAGATATAGCTGGAAAAGCTCACTATTTGGATCCAGATATTCACGCCCTGTTGTGCTGCTTTCTGTCAGAGACTCCTGTTCTGATAGCCACTGCAGGAAACATGAATTTGTAAAATAGGCAGGCTTTCCACCAAAGTCTCTTATTGGAGCAAATTTTATTTTGACCATACCACACTCCAAATCGTGACCATAATACAACTACAGGAATTCAAAAAGATAAAACTCCAAAGCAATGTGCAGCAGCCACATTCCAAGACCTCCTATCTGTCAACCCAAGTCATATATACATTTACAGTTTTTAAAATTAGCGTGTTTCTAATTTCCTATTGGTCTACCGATGTCTTGACTTTTTTCCATTCATTATTTAATTAATTTATCTTTTTCCTTGTGTCATTCCCAAGCATACATTTCTCATAAACTTTAAGGACAGTTTTTTGAAAATTAAAGAATATTTTTCCTCAGTAATGTTTTCATAGATATAACTTTTGAGAACAATTTCTTGAGAGATGTTTTAGGAGTTGTGTTCTAGGACATATTATCTTCATGGTCTTCCCCCTGGTAGGATGGATAAATGATCGTGCCTTGAGAATTGTAATGAATTCTCTGGTTTCCATATAAAAGATAAATATTCCACTTACAGAAGCTGCAGGAGTAGAGCTCAAGCAGGCCTAAAGTTTAGGCCTGACGGAGCGGCATGTCTGGGAGTGATCAGGTGAAAAAGACTGATTCTCACAGGATATGCTGAGCAACGGGAGTGAATTGTTACCAGTTACTTGCGTCTAGCGAGTCTCCTGAGCATTTGCTAGGGGAGGGCAGCTGCAGACTTAACAAACCTTTCCTGAGAAAGGAAAAGAGAGCTTCTCAAGTACTGAATGGGAACCTCACTCTTGTCTGGGGTATCAGTGAGAGCTGGGCAGGGGAGCTTGCCTCTCCAACTGGGAGTGTTGCTGACTCTGACCCCATGCAGCTGTCTCTGTCTAAGAAGATGTACTCTTCACCCGCAAAGTGTCTTCTGGTCGGTTACACCACTGCCCCTTATGGCAGCCAAGTGACGACTGCCCAGAGTGCAGTGTGATATGCGACTTGCAAATGATGCAATGACTAAGGGTGCTGTGCGCAATTAGGGAGGGAAGGAAAAGGGAGGATATAGGACAAGAAGCACCACTGGAGTTGGGATTTTGCCAAGTGGAGAAAGGGTATGCATGTGCCTATGTGTGGAGGGGCAGAGGAATCTAAGCAATAAATAACACAAGGCATGGATGTGGATAAGTGCACAGATGCACTCAGGAGATGGAAAAGGGAGCTGGAATCCATGAGGG